CCAGAGACCGAAATGGCCGCGTGGTCCTCCGAAGATTCCACCGTTGTCCAACCACTTAAATCCGTGATTCCACCCTTTGTTCAAATATGAATCCATCCGATTGAATCGATACTGTTCTGCGCGAACCGGTAACAATCGCCACCTCACATACCAATAAACACCCCGTGAAGCGTGGTGGACGCTTTCCGGCCAACAGGACCGACCAATCATGATATTCGTTTCAGAAAACTACATTGCATCACCGTAGGGCTTTGCTGCTGGCACTGGATGTTTCAACGTTTCAACAGCATGCCTCTGGAAAGAATTCGAACGGGTTTGAACAATGGTTTCGTCCAAAAACGAGGCCAACGCGCACAGGGTACATAAACCCTCCGAGAAGCAGAAACAACAGACAGTAGCAGTAGTTTCTCAACATAGGACGCAACACAACTCTTTGACAAACCCAACATACTCGTTTCTCGGAGAGCGAGAGACAGACTCCATCACACGCTGTAGTACAGCAGCGCAACCTATTGACACAAGGCCTCTTCCAGGCAGCCCCCACACTCGTCTGCCAAAGCCTTTTCCTATCCACAAAGCATTCCTGCGCAGTCATGTTGCTATATACTCAGCACAGCTTCAACAGAATAAACCTTATTGATCTATGGTCCAGTCGGTACCTCCCAGCCACCTCAAGGCCTCATCTTACCACCGAAATGAAAGTGTTGCCAGGAAGAACTAAAAATTTCTGCGTAAGTCCACACCCAACTTGTCTAGCCGTACAAATGGAGGGTCCTCAGAAAGCAGAGCCACCCACTTGGTCCACCGACCCTTTTTGTACAGATACGTGTGCAATTTAGCACCCCGGCACCCACAATGGCGTACGTACAACGCTCCTGCAAAATAAAGGACTGCGTGGACATCGTCGTCACCGGGTACCGTGCTCTCCCGGAAACAGTCGTTGCGAGCCATCGGACGCCGACCTCTGTCGCATATCCAAACTCTCATCGCATCCCTTTTTACTACCGTCCCCGCCGCTGCCACTGAGATCAAAGGTCCCTTCAACGCGGGGATGAGAAGCTGCTGTTCTTGGGGGGCTTCGGTTGTCAATACATCCTACGGCGGTGTTTTAGTGAAATTGTACACCAGTTGTCTCTTGCACTCCCGCGACAGGCGCACCCGCTGCCGTATCCGCACGGAAAGAAGAAGACACAGTCACACCGACTCGTCTGCTTCTCTTTCTTGTGGTCGGCGAAGTATTGGCTCCTCCCAGCAGGTGTTTCCGTGCGGCCGACCCATGCTCAACTGGACCCGAAGGGTTGTGCATTGAGGAGACAACTTCGGGGCAATGGCCACTGTTCATCTCAGTGCCGCCATTCATCTCCCTCATACCCTTTCTGTTGTTGTTGCTGTTGTTGTTGTTGCTGCTGCTGCTGCTGCTGCTGCTGCTGCTGCTGCTGCTGCTACTCTTCCTGTCGACCGTCGGAATGCCGACTTCGTGGACGCTATTGCTTCCGCTACCCTCTCTTTCGCGTTGCCGCCTGCCCCGCCCTCGACTCTCCTTTTCTCTTCCCCCGCGTCTCCCCTCAAAACCGCCAGCTCTCACTACCGCCCCAGACTTTCTTGGGACCGATCGGTGCTGCCTTGACTTGCCTTCCTTCCCGTTCTCTTTCTGGGCACTACTATTTCGCCGGCCTTCGTCGTCATTGCAGGCGGACGAGGGGGAAGAGACAGGAGCGGACGAGGACGAGCCGAAGAAGTTGTCCATGCCTAGCTTCTGGCTGCGCACCACGCGAAAGGGGGCGTCGGGGAGCAGCTTGCCCTCGGCGATGCAACGATTCACCCAGTCTTTATTTTTTCAAGCAGCGTCGTCGTGATCGTCGTCAACGAGGAAGGAAGCGGCGGGCGGCGGGCGGTGGAGGTAGGGGTCGGCTCACGCTCAACAAAACGATCGGTGGATGTGCAAAGATGGATTTCATGGAGCGACGTTGGTTGTGTAACTCTGTGCAGGACCCTGCGGTCAAGGCAAAGCGAGGACGTGGGAGTATGTGAGTATGACAAACAAGTGAAACATGTGCATGTGAGGCTTGCTGTGTGGCAGGGAAAGACAAAGCACCAGAGCGTCCGGACATGTTACACGTGTGTCTCTGATAGCAATAGATGAAATACCCCAAGGCTGCACGCCATTGTGGATCTACAAACTAAACCCTGACGTCCCCTCTACATGATGGAGACTTATGTGCTTCTGGCTCCTGTACCGCTCATCGCCAGCACAGACATCAGGCAAAGCATTTCATTTTCACGATGTACGGTGCAATCATGCGTTGGTTGCAACCTGCCTCACCTGGGTGTACCACCTTCATCTTGAGCGACTGATCCCCGTAGACAAGGTCAAGTACGTGGGTCCAATTGGAAGTGATTGTTCCCATGGTTCAGCAAAAAAAGACGCCACACGCCAGAGAGACGGGGGGTGTTGTCAATCCCATAATCATGAATTTGAGGGAAACGTATCACACTCGCGGCACAAACTTCGCTAAGAATATTGTAGACAGCAGGTTCCAGCCACTCCACAAGCGCAGCCAATTCGCGGAGAGAGTGCCGTATGATACGGGCAAGGTCATGGTTACCTTCATGGCCTTGTCGGTCTTGACCGCGCTCAGGTTCTCTGCGATAACGTGCGTGACTCCCTTCATCGACATGAACGGCGTGGTGCGGCCGCCGTGTTTGCTCACTGCACCCTTTAGGTGCATCCTGCAGAGACGCAACAGCAGTAGTAGCAGCAACACGGTATCAGCGTTTATCGAAACACACACAACATCCAAGACGTGCCGATGAAGGGCAGAGCCAGACGGGAAAGGGTGATAAGGCGGGCGAGATCGGGCGGCGGGGACAGCGACAAGGAAACATTCAACGAAATACCAACCACGAGCCTCATGGCCAGCTTCAGTAACTATGGAGATACCTGCAACTTATGCGGCCAGAATCCGATTGAAACAAGATGACAACCACCCACCCCTCCCTGTCTCACGTTTGTTTGTCCCCACTGCGTCCATTAAAGTAGAAGCTCAGGCCCGCGAAAATCTCCGACACGCCCGCAGGTGCTTGCTCCAAAACTGCGGTGGTTGGTGGTAGATATAAAAGCGTCGTCTGCACTATCAGCCAGGTACGTATAGCAATATATTTCTTTGACATGACAACCTTAATCGTAAACTTGATCTCACATGACAGAAATTTCGGGAAAGAGCGCTTGGGAATCGAACACCTCATCAGTCTAGTCTTCGTAGACATGGGGTGGTGGTTCTGTTCAACCTCAAAATGCGCCCAAACCGACGAAAGAGGAGTATGACATCTCAGATCCCGGGGCGACTCACGAAACCAGACGCCCTACAGAATATCACACAGACAGGCGGTGTTACAGCAGTGTCCTACAGCAGTGACAGTCGTATGCCACAGCTGACGTGCGCGCACTACGTTGTCCCCAACAGCGGAAAAACCTCCTATTAATACCATGATGTTACAGCAGTGCATGCGGCCGTTGGAACAAAATTCTCGAGAGAGAGACGAGCAACCACAACGAACGGGCACGAAAACCTTGTCATCTGTCTCACGTTTGGAAGTACGGAACTGCCAGTACCCTGATGCTCCCCCGCCGCCAAGGGGTGGCCCTTTCTTGCCACCGCGGCCGTCGTTGGACTCGTTGGGAGCTGGGAAGACGAATTGGCGAGGATTTGGATTGTACAAGAATTGGCTCTCGGTTGGTTGTTTTCCGCTAGAACCCAACCGCGCTGCCGCCGATGGGTCCTTCTTCAGCAGGAATGCATCCATCTCTGCGAACCAAGGGGACGAGAGAGGAGAGGCCAGCCACAAGCCGCACAGCAGTCACGACCGAAAAAGTGTATCGTCGACACACAGCAGGTCAACTGCTGTCCTACCCGGGGACAAAAACCTTCTCTCCCCGGGATTTCATCCAGGATTATTACGGTTCACTTTGTTTGGTTCATCCTGCCGATCCTGCGATCCTGCGATTCGCGATCCGCTGCTTGCCGCCGCGAGGAGTGCCTCCTTCTTCAAACCCTCTGCAATCCCCCTATCGTCCTCCCAGCAGATGTGTCATCTCTCTTCCTACAACTATGTTTTGTCTGTCGTTGTGGCCTGACTGTTCGCTTGCTTGTGGATGAAAACAAGCGTCCTCGCCGCGCACGGACGATGTACCACTGTACACTGTACACTGCTGTTGCTGTACACTATACTGCCGCTGTACTGCTGAATTCGTACTGTAGTCCCTCACAGGCTCACAGGTCCTTAGGATAGCAAACAACGGCGGGGTCCGTGGTTGGTGAGAGGCGACGAGTTCCGAATTCCGAACTTCTTAGACCGAGAGCGCAAATCTCACGACGCAGACTCTGCTACACCGTGGCAGCCCATGGTACCCCATGGCAGCCCATGGTACCCCATGGCAGCCCATGGCACCCCATAGCACACCCCATGGCATCTCAGGGCATCTCAGGGCATCTCATGGCGCACCACATGACACACGATGGTGCCCCGTGGCACACCATGGCACCCCCTGGCACCTCGTGGCACCTCATGGCACACCACCAGCTAGATGCTGTTGAAAACACGAAAATACGACACGGGGGTGGAGGAAAGGGATAGGAACAGTATGCTAAGCCCACACCACGGCAAGGTCGTGCTTCACATTGAGCGAGTTGTTTCGGAAAAGCATATGCCGTTCGTTCCGGTACGTACAAACGGAGGAGCATGTATATTCGCATATTGTTTACTTGTTTGCGTGTGTCGTCTTTCGAGTATCGTCGAAAGGCGAGTTTGAAAATGTTATGTTTCCCTCTTCTCGTCGATAGACACACACAAGAGCAGCGGCAACAACCGACCAAAAGGGCAGCAAGGAATCCGTTCAAATGGGCACGTTTCGATACCGAACGAACGCGCTGTACTATCAGACAGGCCTCGGCATGGGAGACAGAAATGCGTATGCAGCCTATGCTGTAGTCTATGTAGCTTGTCCGTAATTGTTTCAAGTCGACCTTGATACATCAAGGCTACAATCTCCCAACGTTTGTCGGTCGACAACGATTTTCCCTCCATTCACATGAGGTCGAAAAGCAAAAATGCATGTTAGGGAACGTCCGTGGCTACCATTGCTTCGCGTGGTCCCGTATCAGAGGTGGTTCCTGAACTTACTTTGTTGAGTGCGAGGTTTGGCCGAGCACACTGACTCATGTGCTTCCGACGATCGGTGTCGTAGGGGTGGGATGACAGCGAGGGTTCGAGGCTTTTGATTCATTATCGGATCGCATGCATGGATGCATGCATCCGTGCGGTTCACGCTCCATTGACAATACAGCTGCTTGCTGAACGGCAGCGGCGACTCTCACTTCCGCTTTAAATGAGGACCTTGTCACAATTAATTCACGACGTGTAGACTAGCGTTCCAGGTTCGTTTTGCGACGTACATTTCCGTGTCCTGTATTTTCCCTCCTCTACTCAATCGGCTACAACTAGATAAATTAGACGTCAAACCAAGGCAGGCTGAAAGGAGCTTTCGCTGACCGCTCGTCTCGCAGAAGAAATGCTTGCGGCTACACTCACAACAACAACAACAACAACAACAATATCACAAACTGACCCCCCCCCCCCCCTGAGTCACCGACCCCCTTCCCCCGCACCCCTCTGTCCGCACCAAAGCTATCTACAACAGAGCGTTCTTCTTCGTTGTCATCATCGACTTCTTCTCCAACAACGCTTAAAGGGGCAGACGACACGAAAGCATGCGCCCGAACAACAATAACAACAGTGACCGACATCGCCTATTCAGACATAAACAGCTAACGCCCGGACAGCGATTCAACCAACTCCCCACCCCCACCCCCTCTTTCCAACCCGCCGTGCCCCCGGGCAGCTTTCTTCTTCGGTCGCCCTGCCTACTAAATTAGAGCCTACAATACAGCACTGCTGTGTACCGTTCATGTACCGCACTCCAACACTTTCCCATCGGCATAACATTCACCGTGTGTTAAATACACACCATCTACATGAAGTCTCTTGGCGTGCG